TCAACTAAAACAAGAGCAATAAGTAGATGAGAAGGTGGTGGATGGGGAAAACAAGCAAACAACCAAAAAAACCAAAACAGACAAATAAATGAACAAACAAAAAACCCAAGCCTGCTGGAAAGCCCTGAGGAGTGACAGATTGACTGCAAGGATGACTCCCATGCCAATGAATTATGTTATTTCAACACACACACACACACACACACACACACACACACCAAAACCAGGAAACAGGAAAGTACTAGAGGAAAAGAGGTTCTTTGCCTTACCAATGAAACCACACCTAGCTTGCAAACACATGTGCACCCACATGGAAGAAAAATGAAATGGCTATTAACTTTGTGATGGAAAATGAAGCAATTCACCCATGCTCAGTTTTGACTTCGTTTCGATGATGTAAACTTGGACTTCTTGTGTGGGAGAACTTGATAATACTCTGCTGGAGGAATGGGAACAGGAAAGGAAAGTGGACACTGGTGGGTGGGTGAAAAATATACCTCAGTCACAATGAAGCAGGGAGAGATAGTAACAGAAATTCGATTGGAAAAATTGGATTGGAAAAATCAATCTAATGAGACAATTTAAGAGATTGGAATCAGTATCAGAAGACCTAGCAAGGAGAAATGAGTAACTGCATCTGAAGGCCACGATGAAGGGCAGCTAAAGAAAGAAAATAGCAATTATACTTTGAACTGCATATCTTTAATATTATTTACCCTTTAAAATATATTATATATTTTTTAAAAATATAAATATATTATTTATGTTTATTTTGTTATATTTATTTTTGATATTTATGTATTTATATTGCTATTATATATTATTTATATTTATTATATTTAACTTGGGTTAAAAACACTTTCTCTCCTCCTAACAGGACATCATACATCAGTCATGGGTGTAGTTATTAATTCACATACGAAAAGTGACTTAAGAAGCTGGGCTCTTGGCAGGTGGTTAAAAAGCAAAGGCCATGAGATTCATGTAGTAGAAGTACATTGGTTTTAGCATGAATTTCAGAGGTGACTATCTTCATGCCTGACTAAAAATGGCACCTTGGGAGACACCAACTTTAGTGAAAGTCTTGTAAATTTTGCAGAGGTCATAATATTCAAAAAGTAGGAGTTTACAATAATTCTGTTTGGTGGAGCTTAGATGCTTACATCTGCAAACCTAACAGTCAGCAGACAAAAAAAAAAAAAAAAAAAAAAAAACAAAGGAGGACCTCAAGTTGGGGGCCCTGTCTATAACAAACAAAAAACCTTTCTTAGTTTAATTTATTTAAAATACCTTAGAAATATCTCCAAAATATCTCTTAAAATTTTAGGTGGGGATACCAAGTTAAAAAAGCTATTCATACACATTGACTATAAAATATGTGTGTTTTATCTAGTAAATGCTTGTGTTTTCCTGATGAGCCATCATTCTGTGAGCTGTTGTTCACGTGTGGCTGTGACAACTGCAGATTCTATGCATCTCTACAAATGAGGAGTCTTTAGAACCCAATGGCGTCCATGGGAGGGGTTATCAATTAAAGAATACTTTTCAGCTGAATGTGGGGGTACACACCTGTAATCTCAACATTGACCAGGCAAGATCTAGAAAACTGGCAATTTAAGGACAACCTAAACTGGATAGCTAGTTCGCTAGTTTACAGGCAACCAGGGCAATAAAGTATTGCTTTGTCCAAAAAATGGGGGACTGATAAAATAAAAAGAACTGAAGAAATAAAAGGAGAAAAGGAAAGGAAATGAGAAAATGGAAGTAAACAAGGAGAAAATAAGAAACAAATACCAGGGTGCAAAAGGACAATGAGAAAACAATACACTGTAGTATGAGGGACTCAAGTTCCTTTAACCAGAAGGAACTAGGCTTTGACCAACGTGGTTCCTCACTATTATACAAGAACTTTTGGAATATTTTTTACAATATGAAACTCAGCCAAAGAGGACAGAAGAGACTGCTTAATAGTTAAACATCCTTACTGTTCACCTAGGAGACCTGGGCTTGGTTCAGCAGGAGGTGAACGAGATTAGCAATAGACAGGCTAAAAGAGATGAGGTGCAGCCCACGAGGATTCAACCCTACACAGTATTACAGGTGACTAAGCCTTCCCCAGGGATGAGCACATCAATTGGTCACTCAAGTTCAGCTCTGAAAACACATGTCCCAGTAACAATACATAGACTGAGCGGGTCATATTTATGTAGTTAGGAATATATATCTGCATACACATACATGTACCTATACATATGTGCATGTAACAACAAGCAATTTATTTAAGAGGGGTCATGAATTTGAAAGGGAGCAAGGAAGGGTTCGGAGGGAGGAATGGGATGGGAAAAATGTTGTAATTTTGAATAATCTCAAGAAGTAAAAGAAATTAAAAATCATTTAAGGAAACAAACAGGAAGGTGAGGAATGATTTAAGGGAGGGTGAGGGTCCAGGCAGGAAACATTCCATGCACAAAATATACTCGAGTGTACTATATAACAGTTCTCAGTACAACAGATGATACAGGGAAAATGGAAAACAAAATGACAATGAATGACATCTGATAATTTTTAAAAGAAGTGTATTTAAAAGGTTCTTGAAATAATATAGATAATGGAGTTACTAGAAAAGGGTTTCTATGAACCCATAATATTCTCTGCTCTTAGAGACTCTATATTCTCCTCCACTCCTCACCATGACCTGGGGTTAAAAGAACTTTCTAGATTTGGTTTAGCTTAGTTTGGTTATTTTTTCTTTTTTAAAAAATTAAGTACATTTAATCAATTATTTAATTAATTACCCATATCAACCTAAGTAGCTCAGCTCCAGTCATTAAAACATTTCACTATCAATTCCTATTGGCACAACAAAGAAATTTAGTATTAAAAATATTGTTATTGTCATGTCAAAGGGTGAAAATAGAGCAACTGGATGTCTTAAATAAGAAATACCATGTATAAGTAAACTCTATCTTAATTAAAAACTCAATTAAAAACTCTTTAAAATTAAGTATGTCCGAACAAATATATACATATATAATGATACTTTAAAATGAATCATTAATTTCAAGTACTAGCTATAATTTCTGGTCCTTACACGATTTCATTTGGAACACCAAACAGCTTTAAATGAGGGGGAGTTCCCCAAGCTTACAGCAAACACAAGCAGAAAATAACGATTAAAAGACAGTCCTAAAATAATAGTTAGCATTATTGTTTGGAAGGTAAAATTGCACAAACAGGCCATGTAGTGTGTTCCATGATTACACTATTTTCATATAAATGAAGGAAAGTGCAAGTTGAGCCATTTGCTCAGGACTTCAAGGTTAATTTTTTATTGATGTTTAGGTTTATCAAAGTGCAAAGGTTCTGCTGCTCTGGTCTGTTCCCTTCCATAGCTCTTTGGAGTCATGCCAATGTCTTCCATGATAGGCCTACAATAACTTAGTGACCTGCGCTTTAGAAGCATTTCCTGGAGTTATTATCTGCCTGTTTATATAAAAACACTGGTATCAAATTCAGGAATAATGCATTATCGGATATTATTGAACAATTACTAGCCAATGCCTTCACTTCAGATCAGCCTGACTGATGTGGGATTTCCCTCTGTATGCTGTGATTACCATTAATGAATAAAGAAACTGGCTTGGCCTGTTGATAGGGCAGAACTTAAGTAGGTGGAGAAAACTAAATGGAATGCTGGGAGTAGGAAGGCAGGAAGAGAAGCCATGGAGCCCTGCTGGAGACAGATGCTGGAACCTTGCCAGCAAGCGACGGACCTCGTGGTAAAATATAAAATAATGGTTAATTCTAGATGTAAGAGCTAGCTAGCAATATGCTTAAGTAATTGGCCAAGCAGTGTTTTTAATAATATAGTTTCTGTGTAATTATTTCAGGGCTAAGTGGCTAGGAACCAACAAATGGTTTCCCACTTTTCATACTTCACTTGACCAACATAGGTTGTGATTCTGATTTTCTCAGATATTGAACAATCATACAGGAACAGCTCCTGGTGGACTTTTCAAAGTGTTAAAATCTAATTTTCTTTTAAGCAACTATTTTACGTGTTTTTTTGTTTATATAGGTGTCTGATATTTATTGTATTCATTATTTATTTTGTTCATGTGTATGTGCATGTTTGTGTGTGTGTGTGCAGGTACGTGTGTGTGTATGCGGGTGCATGTGTGCACACGCATGCATGCATATGTATGCATGTGCCACAGTGTATATATGGATATCAGATTATTGATTATATCATGGGAGTATTAGGGATCAAACTCAAAGCATCAGGATTGGAAATAAACACTCTTATGGGCTAAGTAATCACCTCAGTTCTTGTCTTGTTATTTGAGACAGGATCTTGCTATAACCCTAGCTAAAACTTGAATTCACTATGTAGACCAGGCTGCCACTAAACTTGTGGCAATCCTCCTGCATGCTGAGATTACAGGCATACACTACCCAAACTGGCTTAAGTGATTGTTTCTCAATTCGTATTATACATTACCCATGTAGGAGTTAGTCCACTTTGGTTATTTTAGAGTTTGCAAGGCACCTTAAATGTTAGCTAAGACCCTTACTGTTTTGATGAAGAACCTGAAGCCAAGTTACAGCCTAAGTCACATGAAGATGTTAGCAAGGTTCATGTCTCCAAATCTCCACACTATAGATTCTAAAATTTTCAAATTTTGAAATGGATTTAAAAATAAATTATAACTATGTGTATGTATCCATGTGTGGGTTTTTAAATTTGAGTGCAGTTCTAGAAGAGGCAAGAAGGGGGTCTAGATCACCATCAGGGCTGGAGTTAATGGTGGTTGTGAGCCTTCTACGGTAGGTGCTTGGAACCAAACTTAGGTCCTCTATAAGAGTAACAAGTGTTCAGCATATCTCCAGCCTCTTTTTACCTTGGTTCTAAGATACAGCTAAGTTGATTCTGCTAAAATTTCAATGTAATATCTTATTTGAAAGTATGAAAATGCTTAAAATAAACACTATATTCTTACCTGTAAGAACCGTACATCACTTTCTGGCAGTCAACTAACAAAAATTTCTGTTCCATTTTCCCATGGAATTTTGCTCCAGTTTTTGAAAGATAATCTTGACCTCTTACTGTCCGTACTCGAATGTTCTACAATTATATGCAAACATAAAGTAAAATTACATCTAGAAGTGAGACATTTTGAAAAGCAAATAAATAACAGTGTAAACACATCAAAAACATTGCATTGATTGACTGATTGATTTGAGACAGAGTTTCTCTGTGTAACAGTTCTGACTGTCCTGGAATTTACTCTGTTGACCAGTTTGGTCTTGAACTCACAGAGATCCACTTGCCTTTGCCTCTAGTTTTAAAGGTGTGGGCTACTACTGCCTGGTACCAAAACAATTAATTGAAACAAACTTTTAAAACACATAAAAATTCATTAAGAAAATTGCAAACATTGCCCTACAATTACATACTCATGAAAGAGAACCATTCCAAAATACTTTTAGCACAGCTTAAATGAACATATTTTCTTTTTACACAGAATTATTTCATAAACGATACTAGATTTCACTATGAGAAATACTTTCCAACTATAATAGCATAAAAATCTTGACATAAGTCAAATGTCAATGAAAGCACTAATTCAAGTGATTTGACAAAGCAACACGTATCAAATTACAGGATCACTTGCCAAAAGTTTCAGAGTTGTATATGTGAGACAGAGTCACTAACTATTGCTGGTGGCAACAAGAATACCCAGATATCCTCTCAAGAAGCACATTTCAGAACAAACAGGCCTTCCAATCTTCTTCCAAACATCACTCTGTCTCCATTGTTTTGTCTTTTTCTTTTAATTTTTTTTTTTTGGCTAATTTATCTTAACATGACTCAAATTTGAATAGAATGAAAACAGTAAGCAAAAATATATGAAAAAACATAAAATTCTTACCCTGAGACGTTGAATTTGACAACCTTGTTTTTCAGTCATAGTTAGAAAATGATTAAAATTGGACTCATCAAGTAAAATATATACAGATATGCCTCGGGTTGATGCCTCTACTATTTCTTTGAAAATATCCACATCAGTAAACATATCCATCACTATGGCAATGACCTGTTAAAGACAAAAATATGAGACAGCTTTAGAAAACTAATAAAGATTATGAAATTGCTTTAGTTTTAGTAGAAATCAAAGAAGATAGGAAGCAATTAAGCACATCACTTATAAATGCATATATATGTGTGTCATTTCTAAAGTATGATAATGCATACAAATAAAAACAGAATATATGCAAATCTGTAACTTGGCAATCCTCATGTCAGTCTAGGATAATAGACATCAACACCTCAGCCATTTCCACAATTAAAGGCATATCCAAACATGCTCTCCACAGTTGTTTATAAACCAAAGATAGCAAGGGAGTTTTAAATTTTTTCTTTGATGGCATCCAGGCAAAAGTGGGATTGTGGAAACTGTCTGAAGAATGAAGGTGTTGGAAGAGTAGAAGAGAAGAGTATCTAGGAAATGATGAAAGACAGGAATGAAGAACAGGGTGTTATATGTATCTGTGTCCCTGAAATTAACTTATAGATAGAAACAGCAAAAATTAACTTCTACAACATAAATAGTCAAAGGTCAATATGCCTAAGAAAGAAACACCTTTAAAAACAGGCCTCTACTGCTGAGTAGTACTCTAATATGTATATATTCCATACTTTCTTCATCCATTCTTCATTTGAAGGGCATCTAGGTTGTTTCCAGGTTCTGGCTATTACAAACAATGCTGCTATGAACATAGTAGAGCATATACTTTTGTTGTATGATAAGGCCTCTCTTGGGTATATTCCCAAGGAGACAGAGACAGAGACCCACATTGGAGAACCAGACTGAAATCTCAAGGTCCAAATCAGGAGCACCAGGAGAGAGAGCACTAGCAAGGAACTCAGGACCGCAAGGGGGGCACCCACACACTGAGACAATGGGGATGTACTATCGGGAACTCACCAAGGCCAGCTGGCCTGGGTCTGAAAAAGCCTGGGTTAAAACCGGTCTCGCTGAACATAGCGGACAATGAGGACTACTGAGACCTCAAGAACAATGGCAATGGGTTTTTGATCCTACTGCACATAAAGGATTTGTGGGAGCCTAGGCAGTTTGGATGCTCACCTTACTAGACCTGGATGGAGGTGGGTGGTCCTTGGACTTCCCACAGGGCAGGGAACCCTGATTGCTCTTTGGGCTGACGAGGGAGGGGGACTTGATTGGGGGAGGGGGAAGGAAAGGGGAGGCGGCAGTGGGGAAGAGACAGAAATTTTTAATTAATTAATAAAGAAATAAATAAATTAAAAAAGTAAAAAACAGGCCTCTAAGCTGGAGTGCATCTTATTTGAAGAAAAAGAGAATGGTTTAATTGGCTTAGCACTTTCGGTGCCAAGCACAACTACTGACAACTTCTAATGTGATTGGCAGTAAGATGGAAGTTCCCAACCTTGTAAAACTTGGATTAGCCTGCAGAAAGGCATTTTTGAGGGACATGGAGCAGCAGATAAAAGGGATCAGGGCTTCCTGACACTGAGGAGTGGAGTGACAGGCTCAGCACAGAAATACCAGTGACAGGGTCTGCTTGAAACGAAGTGCAGCTCTCTCCCTACGGACAGGACAGCTTGTGGGAGAATCATGGGAGAGCAAAACCATTTTTATTTACTCCTATACAACATTTATGCACAACACTGGATCATTCTTAAGTTATATAAGATGGTCTTATATATTCTCGAGATCACCTGTAAAAGGCAGTGCAATCAGGCTTGGGGGAAGCAGACTTTCTCTGGCTCCTCCCATTGCTTTCCTGTGTATGGACTGTTGTGGGGTGGGGGGCAGAGGAAGAGAAAAGCAGGAGAAAACCATCTCATTTGCTGTCTTGAGAATATCCTTCATGATCTCAAGTACATGATGTCTTCAATTCACATCCATGAGTGTTAACTTATAGTACTGTGGTTAATAAATATTAATGAAGGAAAGATTTAAAAAAATAATTCATAGTTTATAAAACAAATTCTAAAATATATTTCTGACATGGTCAGGCAGTACTTTTTGACTAGAAAACAGTTTAAATAAAGAAACATTACTATCCAAAATATTCTTTTTAACCAATATATATGAAGTCATTTTAATTTACCAGGAACTCTCATGTAACAAGTCATTTTAGACTTTGAAAAGGGACAAAAGCCCAATTCATAGGGTTTTGTTTGGAAAAGTGATTGAAATCATTCAGTCAGTGAATGATGCGATCATACCGAGAGTAGAACAAATACCATTCTTTCTTGTGTGACAGATAAGAGACTAAGTCAAGACCTAGATACTAGATTATACATCTTCAGCAAGCTTATCTGTGGCCGGCCAAGTCTGGCTCCTTCCCAGACATCTGTTTTCTGTCCCCTAACTTAGTGTCTGGAAATTACATGAGCTCTACAAAGCGGCAGAAGGCTACATAGCATGAGGGGGATTAGTCGTGGTCCAGAACATTGACCAGAAGTAACGTATATTCAGCTTGACCTGAACATACTGCATGCTCATTGTGCTCTAGAAAATGACCACAATGACTACATTTAAGCAAAGAAGAAGTAAAAGAAATATCATATCTAGGTTTGATATAGGAAATACAATACAAATTCTGAAAAGAGAATACTGCTCATTGTAACCTACTGGGAATATACAAAATGAAAGCACCTATTCTACAGATTTATCTATTTACAGATTGTAAAACCCTCTTTATGAATGAGATCATGATGTTAATCTTTATAACTGTACCAAGACAAAGTCTGTTATCTCAGCTACTGCTCTATCGCCATGAACAGACATGATGAACAAGGCAACTCTTATGAAAGAGAGCACTTAACTAGGGCATGCTTAATGTTTCGGAAAGTTAGTTCATGGTCATGGCAGGAAGCAGGCAGGCATAGCACTGGAGCAGTAACTGAGAGTTTTACATCCTGATTCACAGGCAGCAGGCATAGAAAAAGCCAGACTGGGCCTGTCCCAGGCTTTTGAAGATTCTATCACTCTCAGTGACTCACCTCCTCCAACAAGGACACGCCTACTCTTTTCTAAGAGCCACACCTCCCAATCCTTCTCCAGTAGTTTCCCTAACAAGGCAGCCAGCATTCAAACATATCATAGTATGAGGCCTTTTTCATTCAAACCACCATACATGCATAGTGCAAATCAGTGAATTTTGTTTTTAAATGGAAAGTTTGTAGTATGTTGGAAAGAAAAGCGTCCACTGTGATGCTGAAGACAAATGCCTGAATTTTTTTCAGAAAAATGGTTCATGATTGCCAGGATTTTCTTTTGAGTCTTATTTGGTTTCCTCTATGCAACTAGCTAGCAAGATATCTTCATAGGACCTATTTGCTTAATAAGTCTGGGTGAATGATCTGCACTCACTTAGTTGCTATCAGCACTCTCAACGGGTTTCATTTTAAGGGATTCTGACTTCCCGGTAATCATCTAAAGTGAGACAGGAAGATTTATTTTTTTCTGGCATAAGAAATAAAATACTTTGTAAAGATAAAAAGGTTAATGCAATTTTATAATAAGTATTTAGAATAAAATTAAACACAACTAAAAATTATTAATAATTGTGTAATGGAAATCAAAGAAAATGAGGACTTAAGAGATATATATTTCTAAGTCTGCAAAAACCTGTCAAAAATTATGAGCTAATAGGTTTCAAAAAAAAAAAAAAAACAAAAAGAAGCTGATATGGGGAGCAAATGTCTCTGGCCCTTATTCATGAACAGCTTAAGTAAGAACTAATAGCTTGTAACTGTAGATCAACTACTTCGATTTGTCATAAATTAAATGGAAAAGTCACTGAAATGACTCTCGCTACAATAAATCAACTAGGCTAGAGAAGATTTTACATGCATTAAGTTCTAAAATTCTAAGCGGCAGCAACTCTTTTCTACTCTTGATAATAATGTCTAAAGTAATGTAAATAGGGCTTCTCCCCTTAACTCTAACAGATAGAATCACTCTCACATACTGAAAGTAAAAATTAAATTATCCTAGAGATTTCAGGAGCTTACTATTCAAAATTGATTTACAGAAAAATAACCAAACTTCATGTCTATATTCCAAATGATCTCGAGTATGTAAAAAAAGGTATTTCATTTTTCTTCATAACTTAACAAGATACACTGTACATTATTTACAAAAGTCTAAACCATCACTAATTGGCAAAAGTGAGAAAAATCTAGTATAGAATATATAATACAAATTAACAGAAGAAGTGAAGGGAAAGAAAGCACTAATTGATACATATGTATGGCAACTCAGAGGAGACTTGGAGTAAGGATTATCCACATTACTTGCATAATATGGGATCCAAAGTGCCTAGGGCAAACATGAAATTTTTGATTTTACCTTTTCTTTTAACTTAAGCAAACACAGAATCTATACAAGTAAGCAAGCTTACTTTTGAAAATAACTTCAGTGGGGGACTTGAAAACGAATTATGAGGGAAGAGAGAAGAAGGCATAAATGAAATTGCAAAGGGCCCATAGTCCTTTCTTTGATTTAAAAAATTCAATCATTTCACATGTTCTAATTTCTTCATACTTTTTCCAAATTGACTTTTCCTGAAGCTTGAACTAGCAAGTATACTAAGCATGGGCTCCGAAACCAACTGTGTCAGAGGTCTTAGACAGAGCAGGGAATGGGGGGAGGGACCGCAGTACCCTCCACTTCTGTTTTCTACCAAGATAATCTAGCTTGTGTGATCATACAGCCCGCCTTACAAAACCTCACAGGGAACACTGTGGAAAGGCAAAGGCTAGAGAGACAGAAATGGAGAGGAGGAAGCACCTCAGCAGATTCTGACCTACCAAAAATCAACCAATTAAAATGCCTCCAGCTGGGTGCAAGCCAGCTCTAGGAGCACAAAAGGAACGCTCTAGAAATAGAGTTCTCTAACCAGTCACAAAATCCAAGTCAAATTGGATAGAAGTCCTCAAAATATAATACTTTGCTGAAGAAAGCATGACAGAAAGAAGTCAGAAGCATAGAATGAACAAGAGATTTTGGACAACACCCCAAACTACAAATCAGCTTTG